CTCCTGCTCTGAAGTTACCCCCCATTGATGATCGCCTGTGGTTGGTACCACTTGTGGGTGATAACCTCTTCCACTCTGAGGTCCATCTTTTTGTTACTTTAATGAAAAATAATTTCTAAATTTTTAATTGTAAAAAAACCTATTTTACCATTGTAACCACTTTTTAACTGTAGGATTTAGTATTAACAAAATGTGCATTGTTTTGCAACAAATCTCCAGAATTTCATCTTGAAAAACTAAAACTCTGTACCCACTGAACAACAATTCCCCATTTCTCCCCTCTGCCCAGTCCCTGGCAACCCTGTTTTCTGCTGGATCAAATTTGTTATCTTATCTCTAAATACCTCATGTAGATGGAATCATACAGTATATGTATTTTTTTGATGTCTTACTTATTTCACTTATCATAGCATTCTCAAGATTAATCCACTTTATAGCATGTGACCAAATTTCCTTCCTTTTTAAGGCTGAATAATATCAATCTTAAAATAATTGTATGGAGAGACTACATTTTGAATATCTGCCCATTTGTTCATGGATGCTTCAATGAACATGGGCGAGCAAATATCCCCTTGACACCTTGCTTTCAATTCTTTTGGATACATACCCAGAAGTGGGATTCCTGTATCATTGGTAGTTCTATTTTTAATTTTTCGGGGAACTGGAATACCAAATGTACCATTTTATATTCCCACCAACAATACACATGGGATTCAATTTCTCCATATCCTTGCCAATATTTATTTTTGGGCTTTTTTAAAAAAGATTTATTTATTTATGCATGCAAGAACTGGGGTACAAGCCAGAGGTGTGGGGACTTAGAGGATTCACCAGAGACAGGTGGAGAACAGAACAGGCAGATTGACTGAAATACACTGCTGAGGGGAGCAGCAGGCGAGTCAGGAGAGGTCTGCTGCACTATGTGGGTTGCTCCTTGGCTGCCTGGAGATCAAACTCGTGCTGCAGAGCTGCAGATAGCTTCACAGTGTTGTGCTTAATCCCTTGCGCCACCAGGGAGGCCCACAGGGTTTTTTTGATAGTAACTATCCAAAAGGGCATGAAGTTATATGTGTGTGTGTGTGTGTGTGTGTGTGTGTGTGAATAAGCCCTTTACTGATTTCTTTGAGTTGTTTTTATATACTTTAGTTGAGTTATATGTATAAACATATAGGGTTATACATTCCCGATATTAACCCTTGCTAGTGAAAACTTTCTCCCATTCTGTTGGTTATCTTTTCACTATTGGTTGTGGCCTTTGATATACAGAATGTTTTTTAACCCACACATGCTGCTTCTGATCCTTGCTTTCAGTTGCTGCTGCTCACACTACTGCAGATGTTTATTCATTAGAAAATATGATTACCAGTAAATTGCATCTTTTCTACAGACTGGTCATAAAGAAATAAAATTAGATTTTCTTTTACAAATTTTATGTGCAGTCTTTATAATTCACTTTAGTTTTTCCTTCTTTCCTTCCTTCCATTCACTCACTTATTTATTTGACAAACAAGTTGATATGAGCCTCTTGATTGAGCCATATCCTGTGCCAGTGCTGGGGTCCACTGAACAAGATATGCTGGTCAAAGCCTCATTGTAGCCACCTCTTCCATGGAGCTTTCCTGATGTGTGCTGGACACTTTGAGTGCTCACTTCCAAGTTCCATAACCTAAAATATTCCTCCAGTATCACAGTCATCATGTCATTTTGAATTATTTGCTCATTCCCCTCATCCTTGACTATGACCTGCTGATTGTTACATGGTATTCAACATTGACTCATGACTGTGGAAGATGCTATATCTACCAGACTCACTGTTGAATAGGCATTTATGGAACTTTACAGGCTGCTGTGTTCATCCTGGGCCTCTTACCCACCAGGTGAACTTTCAAAAAATTGAGAAAGGAAATAATTCCAAACGCACTTCATGAGACCAATATTACTCTAATACCAAAACCAAATGAAGACAACACAAAAAAGAAAACTACAGACCAATTTCCCTGATGACCACAGATACATTCAGATGATTATATACCATATCCAAGTGGGATTTATACCAGGGACACGAGAATAGGTTGACACCCAAAAATCAATCAACATATTTCATTATATCAAAAAAGGAATGCTAACCATATGAGCATACCAATAGATGCTAAGAAAGCATTTGCTAAGATTCAATATTCTTTTATGATGAAAACACTTGAAACACTGGGAATAGATGGAATATACCACAAGGTTGTATATGACAAATCCACAGCTAAATCCTTCTCAATGGTGAAAAACTAAGTTGGTGGTGTTCCACCAAGATCTGGCATAAGACAAGGATGTCCACTTTCACCACTACTACTCAGCATAATATTGGAAGTCCTAGCTAGAACAATTAGGCAAGAGAAGGCTATAAATTGAATGCAACTTTGGAAAGGAGAAGTAAAACTATCATTATTTGCAGATGACATGATAATATACCTAGAGAACTTTAAAGACTCCCCTAAAAAATTATTTGAAAATAAATCATTTCAGCAAAGTGGTAGGCTACAAAATCAATACACAAAAATCAGTTGTCTTTCTATAAGCAAACAATGAGTCAGAAGAAGAAGAAATTAAGAAAACAATCCCAGTTACAGTTACATTGTAAAGAATTAAATACCTAGGGTAAATTTAAGAAAGGAGGTGAAGGACCTATACAAAAAATACTGTAAGGCATTGTTAAGAAAAATAGAAGAGGACACAAAGATATGGAAAGATATCCCCTGCTCATGGACTGGAAAAATTAACATTGTCAAAATGGCCATTTTATCCAAAACAATCCACAGATTAAATGCAATCTTTATCAAGGTTTCAATGCCATTCTTCAAAGAAATAGAACAAACGTTACTGAAATTCATATGGAACCATGAAAGACCCCAAGTAGCCAAAGAAACCCTGACCAAAAAAAGCAAGAATTGCATTGCACGCCCATACGTCAAAATACAAAGCTATAATAATCTAAACAGGATGGTTCTGAAACAAAAACAGACACATAGACTGATGGAATAGAATCCAGAGCCCAGATATAATCCTGCACAGCTATGGACAGTTAATCGTGTAGCTAAGAATATAAATTGGAAAAAGGAGAATCTCTGCAACAAGTGGTGTTGGAAAAACTCAACAGCCAAATGAAAAAGAATGAAACTAGACCACTAATTCTCACCATATACAAAAAATCAACTAAAAATGGATGAAAGATTTGTATGTAAGACCTGAAACCATAAAATACATAGAAGAAAACATAAGCAAAACCCTCCATGATATAGGCTTTGGGATGTCTTTGTGGATTCATATCTAGCAGCAAGGAAAATAAAAGAAAATATAAACAACTGGGATTTACATCAAACTAAAAGCCTCCTGCACAGCAAAAGAAACCATCACTAAAACAAAGACACCCTACTGTATAGGAGAAAATATTTACAACCCATACATCTGATAAGGAATTGATGTCCCAGATCTACAAAGAACTCATACAATTCACCAAAAATAAAAAAAAAGAACCCAATCAAAAAAGGGGCAGAAGAGCTACATAGGTATTTCTCTAAAGAAGACATACAGATGGCCAACAGACACATGACAAAAATGCTCGTTGTCACTTATCGTCAAGGAAATGCAAGTTGAAACCACAGTGAAATACCATTTCACACCTGTGAGTGTGGCTCATACCAAAAAGAACAGAAACAACTAGTGGTGGCAAGGATGTGGAGAAAAGGGAATCTTCATACCCTGCTGATGGGAATGTAGATCCAAACCCTATGGAAAAGAGTATGGAGGTTTCCCACAATATTAAAAATTGATCTATCATACGACCCAGCAGTTCCACTCATAGGTGTCTACCTGATGCATACATGATCAGTAATTTGAAGGGGAACATGCACTCTTATGTTCATTGCATCACTATTTACAATAGCCACACTATGGAAACAACCTATGTACCAAATTAGAGATGAGTGGAGCAGGAAGATGTGATATTTATAAGCAATTGAAAAAGATAACCTTTTGCCATTTGTGACAACTTGGATGGAACAGAGATTATGCTAAGTGAGATAAGTCAGAAGGAGAAAGATAAATATCAGATGGTGTTCCTTATATGTAGAATATAAAGAAACAAAATAATTGGCCGGATAAAACCAAACTGTCAACAAACCCTAGAAATCTGAGTATAGAACTGAAGCACCAGAGGGAGAGGGGAAGGAGGAAGAGTGGAATGAAGTTTGATGGGAGTACAATGGACTGTAGGGGGCTGGTTGTGGTGTAGTAACAACACCTGAAGGAAGAGATCCTCTAACTCTAAAACACAAATAAGGATGTGAACCAGTGTTACCTCAAAACAAAACAAAATTTTCAGTGCTTGTCCTTTCACACATTTCTCTTTGCATCTATATACAATTTGTAATTGTTAATTTTATCTAATGTTCAAACTATACAAACTATTCAAAACCATATTTTCAACCTAGCAAACATAATGATTGAAAAAAAAAAAAAAGAAAGAAAAGGAAAAGTCTCCAAGCGGAGTCACTTGTGCTAAAGTCCTCGTCATCAAACCAAGCTTATACCTAATTCCAGCTTAGGTGTCTCCAGGGATGTTACCTTTAACTGGGCAAACTGGAATTACCTGGTCAACACTAGTGAGGTCATTGGCCCCTTTTGTTCCCTATAGGATGGTCACCCTACTTGAAACAAATCCTCTCTTTACTAATAATTTCCTTTTGTCACCCCCTTTCTGTCTGCAAAGCCTTCCATTCTGTATAGCACTTCAGTGCGCCTTTCTGCTTGATTCTGCCCACTCTGTGAATCACTGAATAATGCTAATTAGATCTTTGAATTGACAGTGTCAACGAATTTTATTTTTTAACGATTACAGGACCATATGTACCGTCTTTGCTTTCATGAGGCGTCCCTGGAATTGCATGTCTATTCATGTATCCTGGAGAGAAGTGGCATAGTCTTAGCACTAAGTCTATTTTCCTTCCCAGGTTTCTGGGTGGAGCGAACCCCAGTGCATGAAGCAGCCCAGCAGGGTGAGACTCTGCAGTTGCAGCAGCTTATTGAGAGTGGCGCCTGTGTCAACCAGGTGACAGTGGACTCCATCACACCCCTGCATGCGGCCAGTCTGCAGGGCCAGGCCCAGTGCGTGCAGCTCCTGCTGGCGGCTGGGGCCCAGGTGAGTGGACCACAGGACAGACCTCAGACTGGCTGTGACTACAAGAATGGATGGGACTAGCTCAGGAGAACATGTGATAGAGGAAAAGAAGTGGACGGGGATGGGTGTTCTGTGACTGGTAAATGCACGGAAATTGAAAGAACTACTGAGGGAGACTGAAGGGGAAAGAAGGAGGAAACCAGCATGGGGTGTAGAGGCAGTTGTAGGAGGGAGGGCTGGTGGTCTGCTCAGCTGCATGTGACGACCAGTGAACATGCTCATGGACTTGGCTACTTGAATCCTATGGCCAATGACAAGGCAGTTGAGCAGAATGTTGGAGGGAGTGCTCCATTCTGCATGAGGTCAGGGGCCATGTACATTAGACACAGACTGGTTCCCATAGGTGCTGGCAGGGCCTGGACCCAAGAGCTACTAGTTGGGCTCTAAGAGCAGTTTCTGGTCTCAAGTATGATGCTGGCAAAAAGGGAACAAGAACCAGGATTCTGACTGGCTGCTTTTCTGGTGTAAGTGCTCACACCAGGGCTGGCGTCCAGCCCCAGCGGTTAGAAACAGGTGGAGTTGCTAGGTGTTGAATTAACAGTGGATGCTGCCATGGGCTGTAGGAGTTGGTTGGTCCCCACCTGGACAGCGTACAGAATTCAGCTCTGGGTAGGAGTTCAGGATGAGGGCAAAGGGAAGACTGAACCATTTACCCTTCCACAAGCTTAGTTGTGAAGGTGATTCAAGATACCTGGAACAGGCTTCAGCATGTGCCAAGCAACAGCTGAATCTGGACAAATTCTAAGCAAAGACTGCCAATTTGGGGTGTCAGCCTTTTCCTGCCCTGTGATTTTCCAACTAGAGGTGGCATCTTTAGCAGTTTCAGCACTTTTTAGCTGAGGCTTGAGTTAAAAGACAATTATGCCCTGCCTTCCTCAGCTGGTCCCCGGGGCACTTCTTGGCTCTGTGCTCCTTAGGTTCTTGGGTGGTGGTGGGAAGGAGACTGAGTTGATCCTGCCCAAGAGTGATGACCCTGCCCTGAGGAGGCTAATCACACTCCCAGTCTGTGTTCCTTTTCACTCTTGAACCCCCTTGTCTGATGCAGCGCCTTAGCACAGAGTAGAAAACCTAAGCATTTCTTAGAAAAGCTAGAAGCATCTTTGCACAGGTATTTGTGCATCATGATGAGAAAGTGAGCTGTGTGGTCTTTCCCCCGTGACACTATTTCTTCCTCCCCTCCGAGGTGGATGCCCGCAACATCGACGGCAGCACTCCTCTCTGTGATGCCTGTGCCTCAGGCAGCATCGAGTGTGTGAAGCTCTTGCTCTCCTATGGGGCCAAAGTCAACCCACCCCTGTATACTGCCTCCCCACTGCACGAGGCCTGCATGAGCGGTAAGTTGGCAGAAGAAAGCAGCGAGGCAGGAAGGGGAAGCCAGCAGCTTGCGGGGAGATCTTCCAGTCTGTTTTGAGCTCTTGGTCACTTCCCAGGATCAAGTCATGTGCCCAGGATAAGGGGTGCCTGTATCTGTGATGGGATTCTATTTCTTAGCTCCTGTGCCTTTCAGTTGTTAACACTGGAGATGGCTCCACTCTGTAGTTACTCACTAGTCCTTGCTGTTGCTTTGACCCATGGGTTTTATTCTAGTGAGGAAACAAGATCCAGACACCTCCCTGAGGATACAGGGGAGTTAGTCCTGGATGCTCAGGGAGCAAGTGGGACATCAACTGACCTCTAAGAATGGACAGATCTCAAAACAGTAGGACGATAAGGCCACTCCAGTCTCACTGTTGAGGGGTGGCAAAAGATAAAAGTGAAGACTCAAGTGAAACAAGTGGGTGAAAATTCTTAGATGGCAGACTAGGGAGTTTGGTTTCTACTCCTTTAAGCAAAGGTTGCAAGCTTGTGGTCAATATTTTGGTTGGCTGGTGCTGAGATTTTCTCACTAAGTTTGATCAGGGTTTGGGGTGCAGGCTTCTCCATGAAGGGCCTCTGTTCTGTTGCTTCACACCCTGAGCCCCACAGTTAGGTCATCTTTGCCACCCATAGGCACTGCGGATTGCTACAGCAGCTTTTAAAGGTTTCCAAGCAGATTGAGTAAGAGGAAAATTATGTTTCAGAAAGGTTATTTTAGTGCCATCCGTGTACAGTGTACTGGAGGAAAAAATAGTTTTTCCTCCTCCTATCTTTGGAACATTTACTGGGGCCTTGGAAACTGGACTTACAGGGACCAGATTAACAAGAGAAAAACAGAAGCTGTCAATTCCTGCACCCAGGATACACATGGAAGAAGTTAGTGTTAAGTAACTCAAGGGGGTGGTTATAGTGGATGCTTATAGTGCATCTTAGCAAAGAATAAAAACTTTGCAGGGAAGTGATCAGACAAAAGAGTTTCTGGAATGGTAAATTATATAGAGTGGAATGGCAAATCTATAGAGAAGAAATTAATGGGTGATAAGGACTGGTTAGCAAGGTTCGTTGAGTAGATCCTCTGATGCCATCTCTGAACTGATGAGGGTCTAGTACTGTCTCTGATGATTAACCTGTCCTTCTAGGTGGTGGTGGTGTGGGGGGGGCTGTCTTTACAAATTATATCCTGATTCTAGGCAAATTCGGGAGGCCAGAGAACTTTTTTTTGTATGTGCTTCTTTTTCAACTGTCTTCAGCTCAAAATAATCCTTGTGGCATAGTGGCATGTTTTGGGGTGCATATTCTGCCATACTTCAAAAGACAGATTGAAGTGGTGGTGGTGGGGAATATCCTGGAATATCCTGGAAATGGAGAGATGAATCGGGGGCCATCTCAGTGACCCAAATGCAGAGCTCTTCGAGCCCAAGTAGGGTGGCATATGGGAAGTGAAGGACTCATCTGGAAACCTTTAGGGAAAGTTTCAGAACTGGGGTAAAAATGACCCTGGGTTGAACAGGGACTGCTGCCAATGGCTGAGACAGATCTGGCAGGAACAGGCACCCAGGAAGGGAGAGGGCTGTGTGTTGGTCATCACACCCAAATGACAATGCCCAGGAGATGACTGTAGAGTTTAACTGGTTTTTAGGGCTAGAGATGGAAAATTGGTAGCTACCAATAAGGAAAAGTTGACTGAGTGATGATTGAGTATGAAGTCTGGAACAAAATGAACCTTCATTCCAAGCCCAAGTTAAAGACTGGAAGAGGCGCATGGGGAAGACTCAGGAAAGGCTATGTTTAGGAGAGGAACCTACCGTGAAAAAGCTTGGGGATATCTATTTAGGCAGCTTAGACTCAGATACCTAAGGCTTTATGTTTTCACCTCTAGGCTTGGGCTCTGTGCTCCAGCTACAACCTGGGGCTCTGAGCTCCTTCTCTTCCACCAAGGAGCCAGGGAGCAGGAAGTCTAGCTATTTGGGGTACAGTTTCCAAAATTTAGGATCTTGCAGCAAGAGGACTGATCATTATCCAGCCTTCTCCCACTCCAGCTTTCTCAGGAGAAAGGAAACTACCCGTACTTCTTAGGACCACACAGGATCGTGAGCTACTCTGAGCTGGGGTGTAGTCCTGTTCCCCACTCTCACTGCACCAAGCATGGGGCTTTCCTGTTCTAGCTGCTCATTATTTCAGGTGTGTATCTGCGTCAGTGTATTCATCCTCTCCATTTCTTCTAAGGAAGTTCCGAGTGTGTGAGGCTTCTTATTGATGTTGGGGCCAATCTGGAAGCACACGACTGCCATTTCGGGACCCCTCTGCACGTTGCCTGTGCCCGGGAACATCTGGATTGTGTCAAAGTGCTGCTCAATGCAGGTGGGTTGTGTACAAACCTGTGCTGCTCAATGCAGGTGCGTTATGGTCACACCTGCTCGGCTCAGTGCTGTTGTGCTTTTCCCTGCCCTATGTGTTGGCAGAGAGCTGGATAGTGGGGATAGTCAGCCAGGTTGGAGGCTGACTCAACGGCCAGCTGAAGCCCTGGTCCTCAGTTCTATATTTATAAAACTGGAAAAATAAAGCCTGTTTCTCCGAATTGTTGGGAGGAATGACAGTAACATTTCCGCTGTAACTGATTCATCGTAGATGCTCAGCAGGTGCTGTACACTATACCTGTCTAATAAGGTTTTTGCCTCTAAAAGGGGGGTTAAGGGAAAATGCAATTGGTCATTGCTCAGTGTTCTGAAAAGACTCGGGGTCAAGAAGTCTCCCCCACCTCCAGCCCACTGACTAACAGTTGTAAAATGCAGCCAAAATGGGTATTGGCAAAGAAGTTTTTATTGTGAGCCCACATTGTGGAGGGAAAATTTTAGTCAGCCATCTTATGGTTCTGGATAGAATTTAGACTAAAAACCAAAACTTTTCTGAAATGGAAAGATGATGAATTCTCTCCAAATGACAAGTCATTTCAGTAAAATTATATGTAGTTTCCTATTATTAAATCTTGTTCACTCGGCTATGCCACTTTTTTTTTTTTAAAGATTCATTTTATGTAAGGTTAGTTATTGGAGTATTTTTAATACTTTTTACAATGATAAAATATCTAGATTAGAAGCAGTTATAGGTTTTCCTGCCAAGTTGCTCATCTGATGGTTGGACCCCAATTTTATCAACCTAGTTTATCAACTCTTGAGCCTTTTAAAAAAACCTTTCACTGTGCCTGCAGAGTGCCTGGGTGTATGTGCTCCACACACCTCAGTTCCAGTTTTCTCTTAGTTTCTTTTGTTGTGGCAATAGGGGAAGGAACGAATTCATATTTTTAGCCCCCACATCCTTTCTGCATTAAAACTCTAGGGAAGTGATTACTCCTTTTTAAGTAACAGAAAGCCAGTTCCTCTAGGTGAGGGATTTCTGTGCTCAGGTATTTGAAAGGATCAAAATTAGAGGAGGGTGAAAGGTGAGTTTAACTGGGGCTCCAACAATGACATCCGAGAACTCACTTTCTTTGAATTTTGCAGTTCTGCTTTCCCGGGGTTCTCTGACCCGACTCCCTGGGTCGGGTCAGAGAACAAGGAGTGAAGACAAGGGGTGAAGTGACTGCAGCAGAGTTAGGCTTATCCAAATACTTTCCTTCGTGAGGCTTTGTAACTTTCATAGAAGAGTGAAAAATCTCTTCCCCAGAGGTCCTGCATACTCTCTTCTTTTGTCCCATTGATCGGAATTGGGCCACACATCCAAATCTAAACCAGCCCATTAGACCAGACTGATGGGTCCAGACTTAGGTGCGGGAGAGAGAGGAGATCAATCAGATCCACACCAGAAGTGGGAATGTTGCTGTAATTTCAGGCTTTCAGGTCTAGTTCCCCAGCCAGGAATAGATCCCAGGCTGCGGGGGCAGCGCTGAGTCCCAGCCACTAGACCACCACCCCTTGGTGTCTCAGGAAGCTACAGCAGGAACTTTGCTGATGCTCAGGCAAATGAAAAGAGGCAAATTTGTTTAGAAATATAGATATAAATACAAGGACAAGTTTATTTTTATTTATTTATTTTTAAAATTTTTTTTTTTTTAATTTATGCATACAAGAACTGGGGTATAGGCCAGAGGTGGGGGTGGGGTGTGTGAGAGAGAGGATTCACCAGAGAAACAGAGTGGGGAACAGAACAGGAGGATCTACTGAAATACACTGCTGCAGGCGAGACAGGAGAGATCTGCAGCACCATGTGGGTGACCTCCTTGGCCGGGATCGAACTTTTATCGCAGTGGCTGCTGATAGCTTGATAGCACTGACTTTAATCCCTGCGCCACCAGGGAGGCCCTGGGCAAAATTTATTAAGGAGAAAAGGAAAAAGAAACAAAGTGGGACTCCCAGGCCTGCGGAACCAGGCCAGGAGAAGCAAGGAAGCCACAATGGAGTTGTGCCTCAGGGAATATACACCTTCTTTCCCTAATTATTCTAAAGCCCTATGAGTCTCTCTGTGGTTGGTTAATTCTTGGTAGTTTTGTTACAGGGCAGGGAGAGGGGCAGCCCAAACCCTGCAAATCTGCCTATTCTAAATGGGTTCTGTCATCCGCCGCATCAACACAAAACAAATGAGATTTTAATGGGAAGGAACTTTAATACATCTAGGAAACAATACAGGAAAGGCAAAGAATCTAGTTTCTAAATCAAGCACCCAAAGTTACCCGTCCCCTCGTGGGTAAAACTCCATCCAAATGGGATTGGCCTAGAGCAAGGCCCCAAAGCCTGCCACAAGTCTAAAGCATCTTCCAGTGGGGACCCACAGAAAAGGGTCAGAAACAACCAGACAAGCCTGGGAGGAAAAGAACAAAATCAAAATCAAGATAAAAGTTGCCATTGTCACCTCCCCACGGGTCTCTCACCCACATCTGTGTCACCCAGTCCATGACCAAAAGGCAAGCACAGTTTCTTCACATGTCTCTCCATTCCATGTGCCTCCTCCAGGTCTCCTTCTGGCTCCATCCTGCTTCCCTCCTTCTCAGTCTCCTCTGCAGCTTCTTCTCTCCCTGCTCAGCTCCACCCTCCGTTTGGGTGGGGCAGGGAACCTGGAAGTCCCCCTTTCCTGGGGACCACCCTGTTACAATCTCACTCACTGTCTTAAAGTCTCCTTGCCCAGAATTACATCTTGCATCCCAGCCCTTATCTTAGAGTCCTTTTTCCTTTTTTGTCCTTGTCTGGGAATGTCCTGTTGCCCCTAGTCCAGGGGGTGTTTGATTAATCCCCTTTGGAATTTGGTGCCCTTCTCTCTGGAGCCTTTCTTATTCCTCCAGGGCTTTTCCTATTCTATTCTGAGCCTAAAAGCTATCTGTTTGCCCTTTGACTTAGGAGGTGGGGCATCCCACCCACCCCCCAGGCGGGTTTTGAAGGAAGTGGGAGGCAGCCAGGATGTGGCATTCCTGAGTATGGGTCAAAGCCTGATAGTTTTAGAGGGAGTTTCCTACACCTGGGGAGTGGAATGCTGCGTGAAGGGAGTGTTCATACTGGGTTATTGTCAGTCTTTGGTGTTTGTTGACCACCATGCAGTCAGCTCTAGACTCAGTCCCACTTGTGGGTCTAATCTGCTCAGATGACCTTGTTGGACCTCCTTGTTCATGCACATGCATTCTCTCTCTCTCTCTCTCTCTCTCTCTCTCTCTTTTCTATAAAGAGAACTATTTTTGAACTCTGGGAAAGCTCCAACACAGAGAAAAGCAGAGAGGACAGCACTTAGATTCTTTGTAAAGCAGCAACACTGAATCTTTTGGGGGTGGGTCCTCTTGGAAAATTTAATGAAAGCTACTGACCACTTCTCATGAAAAACAACAACAAACAGTGCTTTTGGCTCTGATTTCCGAGTGCCCAGGTCCTGCTTGAGGAGTGGGCTGTAAGCAGGCCCTGAGGCTCACTCGGAGTGTAGGGGAGACACAGAGGCTGTTGGACTTTGTCAATGGTGAAGCCAAGTCCTCAGAATTTTGTCAGAGAAGGGGTGAAAGGTCCATGCAGGAAGCCAGAATGCAGGAGCCAACCAGGAAGCCCACCTGGGGGGCAGGAATGTGGATACCTGCCTGGAGGACTCAGACAATGAGCCTCCCCCCTCCCCCTACGAGTCTCATCTCAGACAAAGAACCTCTACCTGCCCCACAAACTTTTCCCGCCGTAGGAGCCCAACTACCCACCCAACCTCTCCTCGCCCTATAAAACCCTGCTTCCCCCAACAACTTGCGCGGCTTCACTGACCCCCACCTTGGGTCTGTGAGGTCCGCCCGGGGCGCAATAAACTTTCCCTCCCTTTGAGAAATGTAGCCTGGCTCTCCTTTTCTTTACTGCACCGAACCTTTCAAGGGGTGCTGGGGCAGGTGAAAGTCCACTTGTTAAAGTGAAGTAATTCTAAACCTCAATGCTGGCAGTCAATATTTAACTCTGCTGGAGGCTTCGGAGGGGCTAAGTGAGGAGTCAATGCATCCGTCTTCCAGCGCAGGCATGTCTTCCCATGTTCTCTGTTATGTCTCAGTAAGCAAACACGAGGCTGAGGTGCTCCCTGGTGGGCCTCGGTCCCATTGCTTGTGCAGGGTCCTGAGGTGCATGACACTGTTTCTTTGCTGGTTAAGGTTTTGCTGAGGCCACTGCATCCTATTTTGCTTTGAAATCAGGATTTGGATAATGGGCAGAATTTGACCCCTTTCCTCTGAAGCCAGAAGTTGGGAATTTTTAATGCTCAGATGACTTCAGTTTAGTCAGTTGTCATCTCTGTTGACAGTGCATCACCATCATTAGCCCACACAAAGCCATATCCCGCCTTTCACTCAGTCCTGTCCCTCACCCCACCATTGTAATGCATTTTGTCAGGAGAGGTAAAAGCTGGAATTTAATTGCTCCCCTGGTTTCAAGAGAAAGAACAGTGGAGATGTAAATGCAAAGGCTGTTTAAATCTTTACTGTGCTCCTTGTCATTAATGGGGGTGAAAAGACCTGTTTGCCTGCAGGCAGATTTTTGTATGGTTGCTTCACAGAACCAGGACAGGAAGCCAGTTCTGATTTAAAAGTCACAGGAGGGGGGGGTGTCCCAAAATGTTTTACATTATGTTCACAGTGTGTGTGTGTGTGTGTGTGTGTGTGTGTGTGTTTGTGTGCACAAGGAGAGTTTGGGCAGCTCAACCTGAGCTTCCAGGGCTCTGAGGACCTGAGAGACAGGCTGCAGAGCCTTAGAACTTCTTCTTAGTGCACAGGGAAGTTTTTTGTTATGTTTGTCTGCTTTTTGGGTCTATTTTTAGTTACATTTTTTATGACTGCTACTTGTCTTTAGCTCTCTTTTCATAAGAAAAAAGAAGTAATTACTGCTTTTGGATTTTGAAAAAGGTTTTGAAAATGCTGTAATTAAAGTCTGATTTTTTTTTTAAAGATTTGTTTTATTTTATGCATACAAGAGCTGGGGTGCAGGAATACACTGCTGAGGGGAGCAGTGGGTGAGTCAGGAGAGGTCTGCTGAGCCATGTGGGTCACCTCCCTGGTCAGGGATCGAACTCGTGCTGCAGTGACTGAGGCTAGCTTCATAGTGCTGCGTCTCAACCCCTTGCACCACCAGGGAGGCCCTAAAGTCTGTTTTGATCTAGTTTCCTGTTGTTTACCTTGCAGAACGAAAAAGTACAAGCCAGTGTTTCTCTTGACTCAATATTCTCTCTGATGTATTTGCTCCCACTTTGGCCCTGCAGGGGCCAATGTGAATGCAGCCAAGCTTCACGAGACAGCGCTTCACCACGCAGCCAAGGTGAAGAACGTTGACCTTATCGAGATGCTCATCGAGTTTGGAGGCAACATCTACGCACGAGACAACCGGGGGAAGAAGCCCTCTGACTACACCTGGAGCAGCAGTGCACCCGCCAAGTGCTTTGAGTACTATGAGAGTGAGACTTGTTTGAATTATGTGGTGTATTTTAAAATGGCTTGCGAAACCACTATGCAGGAAACTGCTGACACTCTGTCAGATCACCTTATGAGTAGACAGCCCATGTGAGGCTGTGAATGCGTCATGGCCCCTACCCCTCATGCCTCAGGAAACAAAGTACAAGTAATCTGGCCATGGACAAGATTTCTTCTTTCACTACAATTTTTTTAATGAATTCATGTAGGGTTACATTTATACAAGGTTTTCAAACACCTGTCAGGGGAAAAAATGATCAGTTTATTCCCTTTTTTGGCAGCCCAATCCAACCCAAATCTTATAAACTTAAGGTAAACACCTTCCATATCTGTCAGTTAAATAGTACCCAGACGAAACTTCTTTCTATGCATTCTAACAATTCAGGCAGAAGAGGTGACCTGGGAAAATGAATTTCACCTAATTCTTTTTTGTTCTTTCAAAGAATTTTTTATTATAATTTTTCATAAATTGGGAATCCTTGCTGTGGTTGACTTATATTTTTATCAAACACAGATCATTCTAGGAGGTGGTCCTTGAGAGCAGGCTCTGTTTGCAAATGTTCCTCTGTTTCTGGCTGCAGGGGCTTACGTCCTGGCTGTCTACTCAGCTGCTGGTTTGCTGTCCTTGAGCCACCACTCCAGGCTCTACCTTTAGTCCTGAGGTCCTGGCCCTCTGCAGCCTGGGTGTGCATCTGCACTTCATCTCTGGAGCTGTTTTATCACTTGTCATAGTACTTCTTGGGTCCTCTTAGAATCTTCAGCAGCAATAGATCAGCAGCTGGCACCTAACCCCTGCCCAGCACCAAATCTTGCCCTGCCTCTTTGTTTGTCTGGAAGTCTGTCAGATGAACCTACCAGCTGTAGATTAGTCTTTTGCTGACAAGTCTGTGTGCTGATTTATAACATTATGGCAAATAAATAAATAAGTATAGTAAAAGTAAGCCCCCAAAAGCCAAAAAACTCACAAAATGAAATCCCAGTGACCATACCCAAATTTCATTCTTGATCTGCCTTCTTTGGTCCCTGACCATCCTTCCCAATTGCTTTCCAGAGCCAACTTGCAGGCATGTCCTATTTCCAGGAAAAGAGAGGCATTTCTAGCTCCTCTATGGTATTTTTTTAAAAAAAGATTTGTTTATTTTATGTATACAAGAGCTGGGGTACAGGCAAGAGATGAGGGAGTGAGAGGATTCACCATAGACACGCTGGGGAGCAGAACAGATGGATTGACTGATATATACTGCTGAGGGAGCAGTGGGCGCGACAGGAGAGGTCTGCTCTGCCATGCGGATTGCTCTCTGGCTGGGGATCGAACTGGTGATTGCTTCATAGTGCTGAAGCTTAACCCTTTGCACCACCAAGGAGGTTTTTTTTTTTTAAAGATTTATTTATTTATTCATACAAGCACTGGGTACAGTCAGAAGCGCGGGAGGGTGAGAGAATTCACCAGAGCCAGAGCAGGGAGCAGAACAGGCAGAGTGATGAAATACACTGCTGAGGGAAGCAGTGGGCCCGGCAGGAGAGGTCTGTCATGCCATGTGGGACCCTCACCAGCGGCCGTGGATCTAACCAGCGCTGCAGAGGCTGCGGGCAGCTTCGCAGCCCAGCGCTCAACCACTGTACCACCAGGGGAGGCCCAAGGAGGTATTTTTTAAGTTGAAGGATGTTTTGCTACTTCCTTAAGCTGACCTCATATGCTTCCTATTCCTTTTTCCAGAGACTCCCCTGACGCTGTCACAGCTCTGCAGGGTGAGCGTGAGGAGGACTGCTGGCGTCAGAGGGCTGGAGAAAATTGCCAAGCTGAACATTCCCTCTCGGCTCATCGATTACCTATCCTACAGCTGAGTGGGCTGGTGACCCCAGCTGCTGGCTTTGCTGAACTCAGCATCCAGCTGCAGAGGGCTTCTGCTTTGTTGCCTGAAACTGTACAGTTATTCTAGATAGAACAACATTCCCTGAGTTCCTTTCAGCCTCCTTTGCAGACTCCTGGAGACTATTCCAAGCATTGAGAAGACCCTGCTTCAGCTTCTGCTGTGACCCCCCTGCCGGCTCTCCTGGAACCTCACTCTAACTCCGGCATGGTCCCAGCTGTCCAGTTCTCTCTCCACTGACCTTCCTTAGAGGAACTTTCTAGAAAGATTTCTGGCAGCTCTAGGGAAGGACAGGCAGGCTGAGGGCCAGGGTAATGCTTTGGATTTCCATATGCCTTAGGTATGCTGTAGAAGTCCTCAAGGGCCTCAAAGGCCTATTGTCCATCTGATTCACCCTATGGGGGGGCCCTGAGTTTTCAAAGTGGGGACCCTGAACCTCAGAGGCTAGGCCTGGGGTTGTCAGGTCCTGACCATGTGGCCTGGGTTGGCTGTTTTGCTGACATCCTGCCACTTGAATGCTATTTTCTGGAGTCATGGTTGGCACTTTTCAAGGCCCAAGTATACCCGTGCCCAGGTATACCCTTCCCCAGGGAGCTTTATATAAGTCTTAGTGGGATGAAGCTCAGGTTTTTAATTCCCCACAATAAGCACAGTGTTTCTTCAGTTTTAAGTTTCAAGTCTTTAAAAAAAAAAAAAAAAAAAAACTTTGAGAGGATATATGGGTTGTACTGCTTAGGTTTTAGCAATAAGTCTTTAAAATAAAGAATAAGATGAAAGTTTATTCACACATATTACCATGAGGAATTAATGCAGAGGACTTGTAGGGAACTCTTCAGGAATTACTCACCTGTTTCTACAGTTGCCAGGTGAGTTCTTGTGCGACTCTAAGTTTTGGTAACTCCGTGAAGCTCCAAAATTGGTAGATGAGGTTGACAGCACTCAGTGGATACAGCACCCATTGATTCACTCATTTTGTAGATACGTATGGGGCATTGATTAAGTGTAAGGCATTTCCACAAGTTTTGAACTGGATAGGAATCAGACTCATCATCCTAGGCAGGGAGAGAAAGGTTTTGCAATCTGACCCTATAATAATAGAAACAAGTCATTGTACATTACAAACCATGAAATGAACTATTAAGTAGTATAGCCAGAATGCATTTGCCTGCCTATGATTCTATAACTTAAAAAAAAAAAAATGAGGAAGTTAAATTAGATGACCTTTGTATAATTAGTTTGGGTACATTTAATTTCTGGGAACATGGAGGAGGCACCACTTGAGAACGCTGTGGTGCATCCTGTCCTAAGCGTGTCCCCTGAAATGTGAACATCACCAGATTCTCACAGGTGGGCCTAGACCCCTCACTCCCAGAGTGTGTGGAATCCAACAGTCCTGAATTGTCCAGAGACGTCTCTTCACAGGGTTCATTTGATGGACCCCAGATCTGGTGACCGTTTCATCCTGCCTGCTGTGGGTATTTCCCATCTGTTCTGTTTCAGCTATGGTTATGGTGGTGCTTCATCTTATGTTGGGAGTAAGGGCCACTCCAGTTGGGTTACAGTCTTAGATACAATTCTGGGTAAATTAGTGTTTCTGCATGTACAAAGAATGGTGAAAAGCAAAGTGGTGGGTTCTCTCCTTTCATCTTTCTAATAGAAAGTTGCCTCCAGTGAGGTTGCATCTCCATACCCTGTGTGCAGAATCTGGGCCCCACATTACTGCTCAATAAAAGTTGTTGAATAGAGTTCATTCTTGTGTTTTACTTGGAACAGAAACACTCTGGTGGCTTCTTCCTGGGTGAGTGGAGAGGGAGGCGCCTGTTATCCTCCCTGTGTTTTGGAAGGTTCAGTGGTGGAGATTCTCCTGTCACGTTCTCATCTTCCTTCCTGTCTCCTGGTGCTGCTCACAATGCTCTCATGTGGACTCTGCTGGTGAGAGACACTGCCTTAGAAATCAGAGGACTAAGATTTTAGGGCCTCCTGTATCTTCTCCCCCATCTTGACTGAGCTATAATTGACATACAACCCTCCTGTACCCATCAGAGGGCTATGAATGTGGACATTTTTGGCCAGTCCACTGGCCTGGATCTTCTTAGCTGCAAAAGATGATTAAAGAGTCAGACTGTGATGATTAAAAAAAGATTTGATGAACAGCCACTGGATTGTTCAGATGAAAAAACGAGGCCCTGCTGGTTGCATGTTTTTGTGAGGCTGAAATTAGGTAATTATTTTTTTAAAGATTTATTTATTTATGCATACAAGAGCTGGGGTACAGGCCAGAGATATGGGGGTGAGATGATTCACCAGAGACAGAGTAAGGAGCAGAACAGGAGGATTGACTGAAATATACTGCTGAGGGGAGCAGCGGGCCAGACAGGAGATGTCTGCTGTGCCATGTGGGTCACCTCCCTGGCTAGGGATCAAACTTGTGTTGCAGAGGCTGCAGATAGCTTCATAATGCTGCGTCTTAACCCCTTGTTCCACCAGGGAGGCCCCTGAAATTAGGTAATTAAAAGATGTCTTGAAAAGTATAAAGTGCTCCCTAATCTAAAAGCGATGAGGTTAGACTGTGTTATGGTTTTGTTGATGTTCATGGCTCTTAGTTTTCAGCTGTAAGAGGCTGAAAACAAGGTTCCACTCATGATGACCAAGTGTAACCTGCCTATAATTCAAACTCAGCACATATCCTCTTCTGTCTTTGGGACAGTACCACCTCTTTCAGTAGTTGTCTCTATAGTAGAAGCTCTCTTTATACTCTCATACTTGGTGTGCAGCAGATAGATTTGGAGAAGAATTTGCAATATGTATAACAAATGATTGGTAATCAAAATAAGATCTTTTAAAAAAATTATTGAGAGGGCGTCCTTGGTCGCGCAAGGGCTTAAGCACCTCACTACAAAGCAATCCACAGCCGCGGCAGCATGAGTTCAATCCCCGGCTCTCCAGAGAGGAACCCATAAAGTGAAGCGGACCTCTCCTATCTCGCCCGCTGCTCCCCTCAGCAGTGTATTTCAGTCAGTCTGCCTGTTCTGCTCCCCACTCTGTCTCTGGTGAATCCTCTCACCCCCTGCATCTCTGGCCTGTACCCCAGTTCTTGTATGCATAAATAAATCTTTTAAAAAAAAAAAGAGACATGAAGCTGGTATGAGAAAATGCTATCTGTGTTGGTGGTAAACAGATGGTTGTGTGTTATCTGGTAATTTTTTCATAATAATTTAAAATATACCGAGGAGAGACAAAGGGTACAATTTTTTTTTTTAAGAGAGGTGGAGATCTGTGTGATTGTTATGAACTGTTTTAAAATACCTTGCAGCTTCCCACTGAGGACAAGGTCACGTTTTTGGTGATCAGATTTCCAAGTTGGAGCTGATGCTCTTTTTGGACTGCCCTCTTTTTTGAAGGAGGAAACAGGTTGCTGCTGTTTTCCTTAGCTCCACGACATAAAAGCCCTGAGATGCTGTGTGGCTCACACAACACGCCTCCTCTCCTTTGAAAGGAGCTGAATAAAACCCCTTTGTTAGTAAGCTCCTCCTGCTTTGGCAAGACTCACTTCCTAGATGGTCATGAATGTTAAAGTTGTGGCTCAGGGCAAAGTCCCCAGATTCAAGTCCTACAAATTTTGGCGAGATCAAAATAGGTTTCTCTAAAGTGAGGAGCCATTTTATGGAAAGTAGACGTAGCTGCTTGCCAGGGAGGGGTACAAAGGAAGACGGGCTCTCCAGCAACTCCTACACTGTCCTCCTCATCTCTGGGGTCCCTCTGATCTCCAGGAAGGAAGTGAAGTCTCCTCCCTTCCTGCTTCCCTTGTTGATACTGGCACAGAGATATTCCTCATGGTAACCCCTCCATACTGCGGGTGAGTCTGCCTGAAGCTCTGAAGCTGTTTGGGATGAAAGAAAATGCCTTTGTATGCCCATTTCCTCCCCTGGACTGCTTGGTTAGATCTGTTCTTGCTTTCTTTCCAAGGGGGCAACACCCTTCACTTTTAAGTTGTTGAGTTTCATTATTCTTGAAAACCACCCTAAAACTGAACATAAAGCTCACCAGTTGGCCCATCCTGTGAACAGCTGTGCCGTTTTACAGACAGAGGCTGGTTGCAAGGGTGCTGGCAAGCTGTGACTCTCCTGCCCTCTCGGCAGTGCTGAAACATTTGCTCTTCTCCCTATAATGGCCAGAAAATACATCCAGCCCCTGGAGGCTCTGCTTTTTCTCTTGTCAGTGTTGCTAGCACATGCCACTGACAGTGAGGTACCAGTTCGTTCGCATTAAAGTCTTGTGCTCTCTGGCAATTTGAATGAAATTATGACTTAAATTGGCCCACCCTAAATAGGGTGACTCCTAAAAGCCTTGTCTCTCAAAATCATAAAGACAAAAAGATGCGTGTTAGGTCTTGCTCATAAACACACACACACATACAGACAGAGTTACTTTTTAGCAGCTAGTCTCCAGGTGTGCAGTTCTTGTGGGCCATAGACTTCAAAGCTGAGAGGGAAATTGTAACTGAACTCTGAGTCAGTATGTGCAGTTAGTTTAGCCCTCTGCTGTCTTGGGGATCAACAAAGAAAACCCACTTCTCTGTTAACCCAGATCCTCAGGCTCGTTCTGCTTGCTGTTAAAGACAGAGTATTATTACATGAGGCAAGATGTTGGATGATACTCTTATTCCTTGGTCCGTCCATCCATCCATCCATCCATCCATCCATCCATCCATCCATCCATCACTTTTTATTTTTCTTCTTTTTTAACCAGTTACTCTAATTCAGGTTCTCTGCTGGATACCAAGAATACCAGAAAAACACAAGAACAAATCTTGATCCTGATTTCAGGGGCTGCTTCTCAGTGAGCAGACCCAGAAACAAAGCCATGTTAAAAAATGCTACAGGTCAGGAGCATGAGCCTCCAAGAAGAGAGAAAACTTACTCCAGAGGCCACTGGGCATGCTCCTGAGGACTGTGTAGGGTCAGGAGAGGAGATAACCTTGACTTTGGCTCTCAGGTTTTGGCTTAATGCAATTGCATAAGAAAAGCCTCAATCTTATGTTTGGGATACTGTGTAATTTACAAAACTATGTAAGGACCTCAATTATCAGCAGTAGTACTTTTTGAGAGTGAATGTGAAGACTCATTGATGCAGCGTCTCTTGTGTTTTTTAAAAGATTTGTTTATTTATGCATACAAGAGCTGGGGTATAGGCCAGAGGTTGGGGGGGGTGGGGTGAGAGGATTCACCAGAGACAGAGTAGGGAACAGAACAGGCAGACTGTCAAAAGTGCACTGCTGAGGGGAGCAGCGGGTGAATCAGGAGAGGTCTGCTGCTCCATGTGAAGCTCCCTGGCTGGGGATGGAACTTGTGCTGCAGCGGCTGCGGATAGCTTCATGGGTTACGTCTTAACCCCTTGTGCCACCAGGGAGGCCCAGCTTCTCTTGTGTTTTATACCTTTTTATACCAAGGACAGAAACAAGAGAATGCAGTTTAATCCTGTGGAATTTGACATGGGTAAAGAGTTCACTGTAATCCTCTCTGATGGCTGCAAAAGAGATGGGAGAAACTTTTACAAAGGACCAGATCAGGTCAAGCAGGGAGTATGAAGATGATGCCTACGAGTCTGTAGGGATCTAGAATTTGCAGACCACTTCTAGGTAATTTGAAAAAAAAAAAGAACTGAAACATAGGGAAAAAACCCATCACAAGCTACCTTGAAAGAGTCTAATTAGATTCTTTTTCTTTTGACTAGGGAGCTCAAAGAAGTGCTGTGCTTCTTTTTGTGTTTCTTTTTAAAGAGGAGATTATAAAATTTTATCCCAGAAATAAAGCAAAGATATAATTGAGTTTCGTGTAAGAGCCAACTAGAAATGGGATAAGAAGTTAGCAAAGGGAGAGGCTAGAGGAAGTGAGGTCTGGAGGAAGGAAATAGAAAAGGGTGTGCTCACAAGCTAATGGCCAGCGTGCTGACCCATGCTGGTAGTGTTTGCTAAGTTAGCCAACTGCCCTTTGTGGCACCACCCCAGGGAAAAACAACCAGAGCACTGTAGTGGCGGGATTTTCTACTACCTAACATCGTAGGTAGGACAGGTTTGGACAAATACGGCTCTGATCAGAGCAATATTACTGGAAGAGCCAGATGACATGCAATCACATTGGCAACTTCCAGGCTCAGGAAGCCCAAGGAGTCTACCCAACAGCTGATGAGGCCTCCCCAGAGTTTCTGACCTAGTTCAGGGGTGAATTCTGTACGGTGCTAAACCAGAGCCACACTCCTGCCAAGATTGGAAAAACCTGAATGACATTCCTTTTATTTATTTATTTATTTATTTATTTATTTATTTAAGATTTATTTATTTATGCATGCAAGAACTGGGGTACAGGCCAGAGGTGTCGGGGGTGAGTAGATTCACCAGAGCCAGACTGGGGAACAGAACAGGCAGAATGATTGAAATACACTGCTGAGAGGAGCAGTGGGAGAGACAGGAGAGGTCTGCTGTGCCATGTGAGTCACCTCCCTGGCCGGGGATAGAACTCATGCTGTAGTGGCTGTGGATAGCTTCATAGTACTGATGCTTAACCCCTTGTGCCACCAGGGAGGCCCCGACATTCCTTTTAATATGGAAACTACAACGCAGCACAGGGACCTCAGGTTCTTATTTCTTCCCAAAAACAAATACTGTAAGCACATTTTGGGTTCCTAGGCAAGCCCGCAACACTATTTCTATGCATTCAAGAAACAGTTAATTGGTTGCCTAT